TTTTTTGAATTAATTATGTAAATTTTGATTCTTTTGGTACAGGACATGAGTAATGTGGCTAATATTGATGTAACAATAGCAAATAATGCTATTGAGTTGCAGAACAATGATGGTGAGGGTGAGAATTTTGGAAAGAAAAGAAAGGGTATCCAAAAAAGATCAAAGGTATGGCTACACTTCACTGCATTTGATGATCCAGTTACTAGTCAGCAGAAAGCAAGATGTAATTATTGTGGAAAGGTGTTGTGTGCTGAACCTAGGAGAAATGGTACTTCTACCATGAATGGTCATATTGAATGTTGCTTGAAAAATCCTAGTAATTTGAAAAATAATACAATGTTGAAGTATGTTAGTAAAATAGATGGAAGTAAGGCAGTGATTGATTTAGGAACTTGGAAGTTTGATGAAAGTGCAGTGAAGAGAGCATTAGCTGAAATGTTAATTATTGATGAGGACTCCTTTAGCTTAGTTGAAAAATTAGGCTTTAGGAGGTTTTGTGAAGTAGCATTGCCACCAACTTTTAAAATTCCATCTAGGAGAACCATCACTAGACAATGCTATGACATCTATGTAGAACATAGAACTGCCTTGAAAAATTACTTCAAAGAATCAAATTTTAGAGTTTCATTAACCACCGACACTTGGACTAGCTTACAAAGAATCACTTATATGAGCTTGACTGCTCATTTCATTGATGCTAAGTGGAAGTTACATAAGAAAATACTGTGTTTCTGTCCTGTTGATAGTCATAAAGGAGATGAGTTGGGAGATCTTCTTGTTAGATGTTTGAAGGATTGGGGGTTAGAAAAAATTTATGCATTAACTGCTGATAATGCATCAGCAAATGATGGACTTGTGAGGGTTTTAAAAGATGCAGTGAATAAATGGGGAACTGCTATTCTTGGTGGGAAAGACATTCACATGAGATGTGCAGCCCACATCATAAACTTGGTTGTTGGTGAGGGTACTAAAGAAAAAGAGATGAATAAATCTGTGACTGCAATTAGGGCTGCAGTTAAATATATTAGGCAAAGTCCTATGAGGTTAAAGAGATTTAAGGAGGCTTGTGAGTGGGCAGAAATTGAATCTAAAAAGTTACTGTGTTTGGATGTCCCAACAAGGTGGAATTCACTTTATTTAATGCTGGACACTACTGAGAGGTTTGAGGAAGCTTTTGAGAGGTTAGTTTTATTTTATTTTATTTATATTTTTTGTTTTTAATAGTTTTTAGTTAAAAATCTGAACTATTTATTTAATGGTTGCATTTTTTGTTTTAAGATATGCAAGACAAGACCCACACATGAAGAATGAGTTGAATGATGGTCCTAAGGCTCCTGGATTTCCTTCTTGCATAGATTGGGAAAATGTAAGAAAATTAATCAAATTTCTACATCATTTCTATGAGTTGACGGGAAAGGTTTCTGGAACCTTATATACTACCAGTAATTTATATTTTCCCGAACTTAGTGAGGTAATATATTTTCTTTTGTAAGTTATATTTTATTTCAATTTAATTATAAGTTAGATTTTGCTGAATTATTTTAGTTGTAGGTTGATCATACACTTAAAAAATGGGAACGGGATGTGGATCTTTATGAACTTGCTGGTAAAATGAGAACAAAGTATACAAAATATTGGGGGGATCCAAGGGAGATGAATAAAAACATCTTCTTTGCAGTGGTGTTGGATCCAAGGTATAAGATGGATTATTTGGAGTATTTAATGTTGAAGATGTATGGTCGTAAATCTGATGGTGAACTTGATGATAATGGGCCTCTTTATGTTGTTATGGTCAAACGTGAGATGAGAATGTTGTTTGAAGAATACAAGAGGTTGAATTCCTCTACTGTGAAATCAAATGACCCTCAATCATTTGATGAACAAGGAAGCAGCTCTATCTCTGCAACCAATATGCAAAGTGTGGCAGATCCGAAAAATAGAGTGCAAACATCTGAAGTGAGGTCTGATTACAAGAAATTTAAAGCTGCCAATGGTAGAAGGGCAGAAAAAACAGAGTTGGAGAAGTACTTGGCAGAAGATCCTGAGGATGAAAACGAAAATATTGATGTTCTTCAGTGGTGGAAGATGAATGAGCATAGATTTCCAGTGTTAGCATCCATGGCAAGAGATGTCTTAGCAGTTCCAATATCGACTGTTGCTTCTGAATCAGCATTCAGTACTGGAGGTCGAGTCCTCGATGCTTTTCGCTCGTCATTGACACCAAGAATGGCACAAGCTCTCATTTGTGCACAAGATTGGTTGAGAGATAAGGCTGTTTCTGATATAGAGGAGGAGGATTTGGACACACTGGACAGTTTAGAGAAAGGTAATATGTTGTATGTTTTATGTTTCTTTTAAATTCAATTATTTATTTACTTATGCAATTGAAAAAAGTTTAACCATGAATTTTTTTTTTAAATGTTTGTACAGAGTTTGATAAGATTCATTTGGATTCCACCATTCTTGAATGAATGGTGGACTTATAAATGGTAAGGTACAAGGTAAATTTTTAAATAATTTTAAATTATGCTAACTTAATGTTGAGGTAAGCTTTTTCAGTTATTTCTTTTGTTTATTTATAATTTTTACTAACTAATTTTTATTTTTGCTAATTGTCGTAGATACAAGTGTACACGCGTTTTTTTGTTAGCTTAGAACATGCTGTGGGTTGTGACCTGCACTGTGTATAACGCGTTTTTTTGTTATATGGTATTGGGCATATTGGCTAGACAAGCTTTTTTTTTTGGAAAAATAGGTTTTTTTTTTTTATAGGCAGGTTTCTTTTGGACAAAGACTTTCTTTTGGACGTCTTTTGGACAGCTTTGAAGTATTAAGAGATGGCAATTGGACACTGGACAGAACGTGCAACTTATGCTAAGGAAGAATGGTAATTTTCTGAATTTTAGTAATAGCTTGTGGTAATGTGATGCCATATAGGTATTTGATGAAATATATTATATTTTAATTCTAATTAGTATTCTGTTATTGGGTTTTTTTTTTCCAATTGCTCTCTTGTACCTCTTGAAGCTTAACAGATCAGAGTTTGAATTGGAGGTGAACTGTTTATCTGCAATTCTGCATTAATTTTCCTATCTCATGCTTGAAGCTTTTGGTTAGTGAATAATAGTATACAAAGTGTTTGTGAAAATGGTTGATGGAAAGATAGTGATTTTGGTGTGATGCAGGCAGTCACCATAAGTGCTAATGGATGGACTAATGCTGGACATTCTGTGCATCAAATTTACGACATCCTATACATGATGGATTGTGATGACATCACTGTTGGAGTAGGAGGAGGTGGAATTCTTGAAGATGGTACCATTTTACCAAATGTTGGTGGATACCTTCCTATAATTGATCA